TCATGAGAGAGAGAGAGAGAGAGAGAGAGAGAGAGAGAGAGAGAGAGAGAGAGAGGCCAAGACCACTTTTCATTTTGATTTTATAAAGCCAACACCACTTTCATGCCAAAACCAGACAAGGACACTACAAGAAAAGAAAATTACAGGCCAGTGTAATCCTTGGTAAACACAGATGTAGAAATCTTTACCAAAATGCTAACAAACAAAAATTAACCACCAATTAACAGGATTATGCATCATTATTAAGTTGGATTTATCCTTAGTATGCATAGGCATTTTAACATACACACACACACACACACACACATACACACACTAGAGCATACACACACTAGCTAATGTGATCCATTACTTTAACAGAACGAATGACAGAAACCAAATGATTACCTCAATGGATGTGGCACAAACATTTCAAAAATTCAACATCACATCTTTGTGGTTTTGAAGAATAAACCAGCTTTCAACATACTAGGTACCAGACACTAGGTAGGTAGTGGTATCATACTACCATAAGATACTACAGACTCCAGGCTACAGACTCCTATCGAAATTCCAACAACATTTTCCACAGGAATAGAAAAGCATTCTAGATTTCATATAGGATTATGAAATACTAAATTACCAAAGCAATCCTGATATACAGAACAAAGCTGGAGGCATCAACATGATTTTACTCCAAAAAACATTACAAAGCCAGAGAGATCAAAGCAGGCCTGGAACAGGCTTGCATCAGGCTGGGCCTGCTCTAAGTTACTTCACTCTGTAGAAAACAGTGGCTTTTCATGGTGTGCCTTGTCCTGAAGGACTCAGCTTTAAAGCATTTTGAGGGAGTACACAGAGACAGAATGACTCTGCAGTCCTTCACACATAAACACCAGCATCTGTCTGCCACCACCCACAGAGGCACAGAACAATAAATGACTTATCACTAACAGTCAAAGGGGAGTTGCCTGATAAATTTCTCTGTGTAGCTTGAAACCCTATAAACACTCAGGCATATTAAAATCCTATCAAGAAAATCAAAGCCAAAGATTTACTGAACACATCAGACTAAGCATTACAGCATCCTCACTCAGACTTCTGAAATAAGGAGGCATCTAACACTGCAATGGCTACAGTGTATATCAAAGGACCAACAGGTAGAGATCTCACTGTTGCCAGAGCTTCAGCATAGTTTCTTTTCCATTGAGGATGTGATCTACCTGAATTGTCATTCATCCATCCATGTACTCATTTGGACCTGCTGTCCATTCACCTACCATGTGTCCACCTGGACCAGTCCTGACCTTTACCTCTGTCGCTCTCACAGTCCTGCATGCCATTTCTGCAGCTTCACTAGCCCTTGAGGCTGGACTCAACTCTGACCCCAAGGCTTGACTCTGCAGCATTGTTTCCAACAGTCCTGTAGTGTGGTTCATAACCTGATTCCTCGGGAGATCCCTTTGCATCCCTGTCAGCTCTTGGCGTGTCCCCTGTTGCCTCTTAGGAGCTCTGTGAACTCTGCTGTGGCCTCTTATATTCTCTGTAGCCACTCCATGGCTAGCATATATACATATATGGAGACACAATTACTGTGTGATGTGCAGTGTGTGATTGGAGAGTTAAGACTGGAATGAAAGAACTTGGGTTTGTATCAGGCAACTATGACTACCTGGCAAACCACTGCCAACAAACCCAACTGCTGCTTGTGCACATAAATGCTGCTTGTGAGTGTATTGCTATCCAATTAATTCTGACATGGTAGAAAGACACAACCATCTATGTTTACAACACAACCTGCTTATTACATGGCATGAAATCACGTTCGCAGAGCAACAGGATAGGCTATGGCCCCTACATAAACCTACAGACATATTTGCTTTCCAACAAAGGTATAGAGAATAGAGAGGAAGCAAAAAACAGATTGTTCACTAAATGTTACTGAAAAACTAATACCTGTTAAACAAACTATAAAAGTACTTTCACCTCACAAAAGGCTTAACAAAAGACCCGTCGTTACAAAGCTACTCGGGGAATCTCAGGGTTGCTTTGATTTCTTTCCTTTATGTTTTATTTATTATTATAAATTTCATGTATGTGTATACTATGTGTGCCTGGCTCCATGAGTTTATTTGTGCCACAGGAATGCAGGTACCTGGGAAAGCCTGTTGAATTCTTTAGAACTGGAGTTACAGCTGGCTACCTGTTAGCTGCCTAGTGTGGGTGCTGGAACTAAGCTTGGCTCTTCAGCTATATAGCACTTGACCTCTAAGTCAGCAGTTCTCAGCCTATGTGTTGTCTCCCTCATAGGGGTTACAGATAAGAGATCCTGCATATCAGATGTTTATATTACAATTCATAATCATAGCAAAATTACACTTATGAAGTAGCAATGAAATAATTTTATCATTAAAGATCACCATAACAGGAAGAACTATATGAAGGGGTCACAGCATGAAGAAAGTTGAAAATCACATCTCTCCAGCCCCAATGTGTGTGTATGTACGTGTCACCAAAACACAAACAACACAAGTGAAATAGACAAATAAGATAGTATCAAACTAATGAGCTTGTACACAGCAAAAGAAGAAATCAACAAAATAAAAGTATAGCCCACAGAATAGGAGAAAACATTTTGAAACAGCTTTTCTGGTGAGGGATTAGTATCTAAAATATATAAGGGCCTCAAGAAACTTAGCAAGAAAGGAAACAGCTGGTTGTAAAAATGACCAAAGGAGTGGAGCCTAGAAGCCCTTAAAGCGTGAGGCAGGATGATTGTCACAAGTTTGAGACAGCTTTGGAAACATAGGCAGCTCCAGGCCACTTTAAGTGGCATAAGAAAACCCTGTCTCAAAATAAAACAAAAAGTGACCAACAAAAGATGGAAAATAGACTTGAATAGATATTTTCCAAAAGAATGTATACAATGGCCAATGTTATATGAAAAATAGTTTAACATGATAGTCACCAGGAAAACATAAATATAAACCATGATTAAATGACACCTCACAAATGTCATAACTGTTATTTTTCAAAGATGAAAAGATGGAGCTGAAGAGATTTCTTAATGGTTAAGGCAACTGCTCTTTCAGAGAACCCATATTTGATTCCTAGCACCTACATGGTGACTTACAACTATGTGTGACTTGAGTTTTCAGCGATCCAGCACCCTCCTCTGATGTGTGCTGGCACCAGGAATGCATGTGGCACACATACATGCACACAGGCAAAATGCTCACATGCAAAAATTACATAAATAAATAAATCTAAAAAAAGTTAAAAGATTGAAATTAATGCCTGAGAAGGTGAGAGGAAACAGAACTACAGTCCAGTGTTAGCAAGAATGTCTGAGCATGAAATACAGAACTCAGCACGGAGGTTCCTCTCACTCTTGTGAAAAAAAGAAAAAAAAACCTGAAATTGCAATGTCTGTTCACTGCAGCACAGTTTACAGTAGCCAAGAGAGATTATCAGCCTACAGATCCATGAGAGGATGAAGAGATGAGACAGAAATCTCTCTCTCTCTCTCTCTCTCTCTCTCTCTCTCTCTCTCTCTCTCTGTCTCTCTCTCTCTCTCTCTCTCTCTCTCTCTCTCTCTCTCTCTCTCACCAATTAAAAGTAATAAAAATAAATCTAAATGAAATTCATATTCAAAAACTGAGTAAAAAGTCTATCCTACTTTAGATAGCAAGACATCTACTGGCTCTATAACATTCAAGAGCCCTCTTCACCAGCTGGTCATCCCTGTAAGGATGGAGGTGGATTGGCAGGTCATTCTCAACCAACACAGGAAGGAGTCAGTCATGGAATGCCATGCACTGCTCTGCTCACCAAGCTATACCAGAGCATTTTAAATGTCTGAGCATACTCCAGCTCCAGCTTCTCTCCCATTACTCAAAGCAGCGAAACCCCGAAGGAAGCGCCGATTTTTTTTTTTTTTTTTACAGAAGCCAGTTCTCAATAATCATCAGTGACAGAACTTTCTAGCCAGAAACTGACAGAAATTGAACACGATCTTCAATACATTTCCAGATGTACAAATAAACAAATAGGATTAAGTCTGTAAGTGCTAAAGGTAAGAACTAGCACTGTGTTCTGGGCATCCCAAATTATTCAGAGTTTAAGAAATATTGATCCTGAAGAGATAATGCTTGACCTTGAGCTTCTCTTCAAAGGTCAGAAGGTGTCCTGTGAAAGGCTGTCAGAGGACAAGCTCATGCGGGAGAGTGTCTATGTCCTGTGAGGACTTCACACTTGGAAGACTAAAACCAGTATACTACTTTATACGTGGTCGTACCAAATGGAGTATCAAGATTTTTGATAAATAAGCCCCATCAGTCACTGGTTTTTTTTCCTCTCTCATCTGATTGAAAAGGGAAAAACCCAAGCACACACCATCCTTTTGTTTACCCTATACCCTAAGAGTTCTGTGGGCTTTCAGCATGACTTTTATCTGCAGATCCCATGGGGAGATGCACCAGGAGAGAAGAAAGCCACCCACTGTCCTCATCACCAAACACATGCATGTCATGGTGACCCTTACTGACAGTTTATTTCTTCCCTGGTGAAATGAGCCAATTCAAGCCAGATTAGACTATATTAAAGGCAGGTTTATTGGGAAGCTGCTCTCTAGTGGGCGAGTTTACTGACCCCAAGGACTGAGGCCAGGGAAGTCACTATGGGGAGATGGGGATGGAAAGGGGAAAGAAAAAGAGAGAAAGGGTGCACTTACAGAGAAAGAAAAAGAAGAGGAGGAGGAGGAAAAGGAGGAGGAGGAGGAAAATGAGGAGGAAGAGGAGGAGGAGGAGGAGGACAGGTGAGAGAGATATGAGAAAGATGAGAGACGAGAGATAGAGATGAGAGAGGAGAGATGGAGATGGAGACGGAGAGGGAGAGGGAGAGGGAGAGGGAGAGGGAGAGGGAGA